CCTACTGCTGGTAGTCATGCATAACGAGGTAGCTCTATCCTTTGGCCTATTGACTGATGTTACGCGCATTCTGGCTTGAATTCTCAAGCTGCTCAATCGCCTTAGGATATTCTTCATGTAGGCTTTACAGCACCAGTTGAGTGGAACTTGTATCTGTTCTAAATTTGCATGTGATACCAATAATTGTGGTTACTAGGTTGTGTAAATAGCATGCACTCATACTGCCTGCCACAGAGGTTTAGGAGCCTTCACTTAAGCTGGAACGTATGAAGGACAATACATTAAATGCAAAGGGAACACCTTGATATTTTCAAACTGCGCATATAATACCAGACTGGTTGTTATTATTGTCTGCGACGGGGCTCCATACAACCGAGAAATTTTCGTAAACCCCTCACCTTCCACTACTGTTGACCTCGTGTTGCTTTTCGGCAACCATCTTTCCAGAGCCTTTTGATCATCAGGAGGTTTTTCGTACTGTGGGCTGTGCTCATTCTGTTCTAGGTTGTCTCATATAGGAGAGATAACGTCCCAATCACAAACGAGAAGGTGCACTAAACCATATTTATGCAAAGAAGTTATCCATTGAGTAGTACTTGCCTCCTTTTAGGGCTGTAGACCGCAATTTGTGCTTTTAGCGCCGTGCCGCTGTAAAGTGTATACTCTGCCAAACGCGTCCGGTGAACCCATCTACATTGGGGTTTTCACCATGCTTGACTTTTACCGGCAGCTCTCTTTAGACTTACATTCGAGGTACATGCCTGTATTATTCCGTCGGAAGGTATACAAAACGACTGGGAACCTCAAACTCGCGTTGCCTGCTTCTCGAAGAAACCTTGAAATAATGCTGCGGCCCTCCAATATTGTGGTTTTTGGAGCTCTTAATGATATCAATTCTTCGTAGTTCTTTTCCAAGCTCCTTTGGGATTTACCACATATTCTACATATTTTGTTTGAAATCGCGGAATCTACAGAATGCAGTACTGCCACTTCTTCTTACTACTATACTTGGTATCTCAGTTGGGGCCATTGGTAGAGCCAAGTAATTTTCTGCCCCATTATCATCATCGTTCACATTCCTTGAGAGCCTACTAGAGTGCAGACCTGGTCATTCACTCGTATCATTCAAACACTAAGTATTTTCTATATTGTACGCCCTTATAATTTCCATATCAGCGCTGTTTTTGAAATATTTTAGCGTAATTCCAACGACCAGACGAAACTGCAGTTCTGTTCTGTGTGTGAAGGCTATAAACCACCGAGATCACATCACTGTTCGAAGTGTGGACGGTGTGTTCTCAAGATGGATCATCATTGCCCATGGATCAACTGCTGTGTGGGACACCTGAATCACGGAATGTTTCTTCATTTTATCATATCAGCACCAATCGGATGTATACACTGCTCCGCATTGTGCGTCTGGCACGTATACTATGTATTCACCCGTGTAAGTGTCTGGCTTCTTAGACTGCCAAATTTCGTGATAAAGGGAATTAAAGAGTTCTTTCTATTTCTCAAATTTGTCTAGACGCGCTCGAATTATCTAGTAATTTATAATTAACTCCTCAAGGTGGGAGTTTCCTTTGCCGTAGGGATTAGACCCCTGCACTAAGCGAATGGCGGCAGTTTGACCGCCGCGAGCGAAAATGTTCATCGGGTGCATCACAACTTGCGCCGAAATCGGTTTACAGTGATAGCGGACTTGCATTACCTCCTCTCTTACCCCTATAAACTCGGTGGCAAGACAAAGTCCGGAGGTGGACTCAAGTGCAGTTGCTCACAAAGTTAAATCGTTCCTCTACGCGTGCCTCACATGACCTGGTTCGCGCACAGGAATAAGAGCCGATCGTATGCGGATGAAGGCGTGTGTGTCACGCGTAGACGGACTGTTTAGCTTTGTCAAGTCAACACATCTCACGACTCTTAAACAGCCAGCTTTCCTCGTCGGAGACTATGTTATCCGTCTTAGTGTTTTAGTAAACACGTTTCACGTCTTTAAATTTGCTTTTCTTACTCCTACTGTGCTGTAGGCCTACTTTCTCTTCAGACGGGGCTATAACGTCGGCATCATCTTCAGCCTCTACGAGATCTTCATTGTCCTGGTGGCCCTAGGCTTGGCACTCGGCGTGGTTCTGGCTGTTGGTGGTCTCGCCTACTGCCAGCTACGCAGCATCGCCCGCAACGAGACGGCCATTGAAAGTTGGATCAAAACTAAGGCAAGACTAGCATACACTGCCTAGAATGTTCATTGTTTTCACTCAGTATCTTTTCAATTGCCGCTTTTCAAGACTAGTTTGTCTTCTGATAAAAGACTACATGCTGGTATAAGGAGCCAGCAACCCGCACGGCGCCTCCAGTTTTGTCCACCTTCCACGCGCATGGTCTAGCATAATCTACCGTAACGAAGCACTGATCAGACGGATGCACAGTACATGCATGACGACAAAAATCTCGCTGCGGGTTCATACACAAACCCAGTAAATAACATCAACTCGGGCGAGAAGGTCGTTCTTATCCTGTCCATTAAACAACAGCCTCGTCCTAGACGATTAATATCGTGAGCTGCGTTTTCCTGGCCACGTATGCAGCTTGAAAACACCAAGGTCTTCTCAGCGTTGATAACTAAACCGAACGATGTAGCAACCAGTGGCACCATATGCTGTAGATCACCAAGACTTAAAGGTAGCAGGGCGACATCATGAGCGTAGTCGAGGCCAGTCAACTGACGTCCGAGGCCTAAATCATCTACTGCCAACTTCGTGTGTAGAACTTTCCTGAAGATTCCAGTTGAACAGAATGGGCGATGCTCACAATTGAAACCGCTTTCAGCCTCGACCTCTATCTGGCAGTGCTCCATTTGGTTCCATTCCACGGCCTGGGAATATCAACAGAGCTTGGCCTAGACGGCCCTTTTTTGCCTCTGCACGAAACCTCACAGGATGTGTATTCGCACTTGCACCCAGCTCCAG